TATGTATGTATGTATGTATGTATGTATGTATGTATGTATGTATGTATTGTAATGTAATGTAATGTAATGTAATGCCATGTAATGTAATGTAATGTAATGCATGGTATGTATTGGTATGTATGTATGTATGTATGTATGTATGTATGTATGTATGTATGTTTTTTTCTAGAGATGCTGGGTTCGAAGGCCTTTGGCCGGTCTGCTAGGCGTGGTGCCTCAGTTGCGGTTGCCGGCTATCAGTTGTTCTTCTCCTCTGTGTGGTCCAGCCACAAGGCCTTTAGAAGTAGTCGACTGACATGCCAGCGTCTTCATCTTCTGCCGTGTTGTCATCTGCTTTGTGGCTGGGGTTCATGGCCAAAGCAGAAAGCTGCTGGTTCAGAGCCTCTTGTTCATCGAGCTCTGTGTTGAAGTGGAGCCGTTTTGGCGTCGGTCTGCTGGAGACATCATCAAGAGGGCTCGAGGTTGGTCCTTGGCTGGCGCTTCCTGCAGTGTCCTTCTTTTTGAAGAACTCGCTTAGTGGCGGAGAGCCCTTGGTGGCTGCACCCTTGCAGGGTTTGTGGAGGGCCTGTGTGTGTGTGTAGTCTTGCTCTGCCACAGCCTGGGTTCATAGCAATGAATGGCTGGAGGCAGTGTTCCAGGCGCAAAGCGCCCAACGAAAAAAGAAATCGCCAAAGGCAGATAGTGGTCTATCCGTAGATTTCAATGTCCAGCAAAAAAAAACCTGCGAAGGCAAAGTGACTGCTGCAGCGAAGACAGCAAAACCATGTCAACTCATGCTTCCGTCAAGCGGACAAGCCAACAGAAGGAACATCACAGCTGGGTGCGGAAGGAGCGATGAGGCGCCTCAGGAACCGCAAAGCACTCCGCTGCCTATCAAGCGCTGAAGCAGACCAGGCCACTGCAGCATCAAAGGTAAATTTCCAATCAAGAAGCTCGTGCACAGACCGAGCGGCCTGTTCCTGAGCTTTGGCGTCGGCTCGCTTGTTGAGGAGTCTCCAAGTCTCAGCCATGTGGCCAGCAAGGGACGGGGTCCAATCAAGAAGCTTATCGTGCGAAGGCACCCACGCAATTTCGTGGGTGGAGCAAACTAAGCTTAAGGCCTTCCACAGGCCCGGCGCCCACTGAGGCAAATATCCCGTCGTTTGGATTTGCCTGGGTGGCTATGAGCCTCTGGCTGCCATCTAGATGCCATTGCTTCCCACATTGGGTGCACTTCACTCGTTCTCCTATCTGCCATGGTGTGTGTCTTGGATGGGCTGCATGCTGGGCAGTGTACTCCTGGTTCACACAGTGGCTTTGGATGAACTCAGTGAATGCTGCTTCATTCACCCTTTTGTGGATGTTCACTCCGCACTTGGTACCCCGTAGTTTCAGCCAGGTGGTGCTTGCCTGGTTCTGGTTGGTCAGGTTGCTTTGCCAACAAGTCCTTGATGTGCTGGGCTCTTGTGAGTTTCTTGGGCAGGGAGTCGATCTGCATGGCAGGCTGGTTGCGGAGGTCTTCAATCATCACCTGTGGGCAATCTTCCTGGAGTCTGCCTTCAAGGATGTCAGTAGTTAAACCTTGGTGCATCCTTGTGCCACAAGCTGCGCACTGAAACCCACTGCGATGGGGTTCCCACCTGTGATGATTGTCAGCCCAGGCTTTGCGGCATTGGTTTACAAGGTCTTTTTTGTGCTGTTTGGTGTGTTTGCCTTGGTGCCGCGGTGCTTTTTGGTGGATGTAGTGCGTGCTGTCTTCGTAGATCTTGCTGAGCCTTTGCACTGCATGCTGGTAGATCAACTTGTGGTCCTGATCTAAGGTGCCTTGCCATTCTTCTTGCCATGCATCATGGAGTGTCTTTGCTCGTTCCCAAGCTGCCAGGCTGAGTCCCTTTGGCGGCGTCGGAGTTGAGGTTCATTGCCAGGTGCATCAGGAGTTCTGGTGTTCCTGCTGGTGTACAGGACTGTGACCCTGCTGAGGTCTTGTGGTGTCAGACCTTCTGGAAAGGGCTTCTGCTTTTGGGTTGGCGCCACACTTCCC